CTGAGCCAGCCGGCCAGGTGGCAGGGGCTGAAGTAGGGCAGGGAGGGAAGATGTTTTTCCAGGGTGGAGGGAACTGGAGCTGGGGAGGGGATGGAGCCCATGACAGTGGCGGGGGGGGGGGGGGTGGGGGGGGGGCAGTGGGGAGCTCAGGATGCAGAAGGCAGGGACATAGGTTGCAGGGCAGAACCGGGAGGCCCAGTTGCTAGGCAACAGGACAACAGCTCCAGGCCAGCCCCTCCGCACCCCCCACTGTGTTGGCACAGAGTAAGGGTGGAGCCACAGGTGGCTTCAGGCCCAGTGTCTCATTGTATTCGATATTTTTTTTGTTTTACAGTCCTGGGAATTGGACCCAGGTCTTTTCTACAGAACTGCCTTGTAGGCCTTTGTTTTTTATTTTGAGACAGGGAGGGTCTTACTAAGTCCCTAAATTTCCCAAGCTAGACTCCCCAACTTGCAACCCTCCTGTCTCAGCCTGCCGGAGCACTGAGATTCTAGGCACCCACCACCACTGTGCCCGGTGCTCAGTGTGTCGACAACCGCGCATCCCCAGGAAACGGAGCGCTGCGAGTCTGTGTGTCATCAGCTGCTGTGGGAGGAGCGCAGCAGGGTCCGGGGAGCGTGAGCACCACAGCTCACACTTGGTGTTGAAAGGGAGGACAGAACGAATGCCAGGTGACAGCATCCACATTGTGCCTACTTGTGTTGAGGGACACCACTTCCCCGGGGGCAGGGGTCACACCCCAGTGCGAGAGCCGGACTTGGGCCACGGGATGTCCCAGGCCACTGGCTGACACAGGGCTGAGACCCCAAAGCATCGCCCTTCTTAGCGCTGCTCCTCTGCCTGAGACTCTGTTGGGGACCACAGTGGGGCCATAGTGAAGCCCAGAGCCCTAGCCGGTGGTGCAGTGATCCAGACAGCACGGAGACACCTGGGGGTGCAGCCCTGGGCCCTGGGTTCTGAGCCAGGAACACATGCCACTGCTTCACTGTCCCCACGCAGCCAGCTGGAGTCTTCTGAGATGGTTTTCTGTTCCTTTTTTTTTTTTTTTTTTTTTTTT